ATATATATATATAGTACTATGCTATTCTTAGTTAGTTCTTAGTTAGCGTATTGTCTGTCTTGTCTTAATGTTGGTTTATGTTGGTTTATAATGGAGCACTGTAACAAAAAAATAATTTCCCCCAGGGATCAATAAAGTATTCTGATTCTGATTCATCCACTTACAGAGCTCTGTTGGAGGCTTTGACCACTGGGAGTAGCCTTAGAAGAGCTTCTTCTGAAGCAGAGTATTTCTTCAAGTCAAATATGTCCAGATCTTCATCTGATGACAGTAAGATGAAGACCAGAGCTGACCACTGAGCAGAAGACAATTTATCTGTAGAGAGACTTCCTGAACTCAGGAACTGTTGAATCTCCTCCACTAGAGAACAATCATTCAGTTCATTCAGACAGTGGAACAGATTGATGTTTTGCTCAGTAGCATCATTTTCGCTGATCTTTTTCTTTATATACTTGGCTGTTTTCTGATTGCACTCTGAACCTACTGTTTTCTGGAGTCCTCTTAAGAGATTCTGACTGTTCAGCAGTGATAGCCCAAGGAGGAAGCGGAGGAACAAGTCCAGGTGTCCATTTGGACTCTGTAAGGCCTTGTCCACAGCAATCTGATGAAGGAGTTTTAGACTACATTTGTTTTTAAAGACCTTAGGCTTCTTAGAAGCAATTTGATCTTCCAGCATGTTGACCCCAGAGTTGCTAAATATAAGATGGACATGAAGAGCAGCCAGAAACTCCTGAACACTCAGATGGATGAAGCAGAACACCTTGTTCTGGTACAGTCCTCTCTCCTCTTTAAAGATCTCTGTGAACACTCCTGAGTACACTGAGGCTGCCCTGATGTCAATGCCACACTCTGTCAGGTCTGATTCATAGAAGATCAGGTTTCCTTTCTGCAGCTGATCAAAAGCCAGTTTTCCCAGACACTCGATCATCTTCCTGCTCTCTGGACTCCAATGTGGATCTGTTTCAGTTCCCTCGTCATACTTGACCTTCTTCATTTTGGCCTGAACCACCAGGAAGTGAATGTACATCTCAGTCAGGGTCTTGGGCAGCTGTCCTCCCTCTCTGGTTTTCAGCACATCTTCAAGAACTGTAGCAGTGATCCAGCAGAAGACTGGGATGTGGCACATGATGTGGAGGCTTCGTGATGTCTTGATGTGGGAGATAATCCTGTTGGCCTGCTCCTTTTCTTTGAATCTCTTTCTGAAGTACTCCTCCTTCTGTGGGTCAGTGAACCCTCTTACCTCTGTCACCCTGTGAACACACTGGGAAAGAATCTGATTGGCTGCTGCTGGTCTTGTGGTTATCCAGAGGCGAGCAGAAGGAAGCAGCTTTCCCCTGATGAGATTTGTCAGTAGCACATCCACTGAGGTGGACTTTCTAGGGTCAGTGATGATTTTAGTTTTGTGGAAGTCCAGAGGAAGTCGACACTCATCCAGACCATCAAAGATGAACACAACCTGGAAGTCTTCAAAGCTGCAGATTCCTGCTTCTTTGGTTTCAGTAAAGAAGTGATGAACAAGTTCCACCAAGCTGAACTTTTTCTCTTTCAGCACATTCAGCTCTCTGAAAGTGAATGGAAACATGAACTGGATGTCCTGGTTGGCTTTGTTTTCAGCCCAGTCCAGAGTGAACTTCTGTGTTAGGACTGTTTTCCCAATGCCAGCCACTCCCTTTGTCAGCACTGTTCTGATTGGCTTGTCTTTAACAGGTGAGGCTTTAAAGATGTCTTCTTGTCTGATTGTTGCTTCTGGTCTGTCTGGTTTCCTGGATGCTGTTTCAATCTGTCTGACCTCATGTTCATCACTGGCCTCTGCAGTCCCTCCCTCTGTGACGTAGAGCTCTGTGTAGATCTGATTCAGAAGGGTTGGGTTTCCTGCTTTAGCGATCCCCTCAAACACACACTCGAATTTTGTCTTTAGGCTAGACTTCAGCTTATATTGACACACAGTATTATGAGTTCCTGAATAAAAAACAAAGAGAAATTAAAACCTGTTAAATCTCACGAACACAAAAAGCTCAACACCAAGTAGCTTAAGAAATATGCAGCTACTGAAAATCCCGTAAACACAATGTGTTTAAACAAGTACGTGCACCAGGTTGAAAGGCAGCTTGTCCTTGTAGCACACATATTGTTCTAGTGTGTTTAACACCATTCAAGCCTGCATTTTGAGACACGATCTCAAAATGGGAGTTCATTCCACCTTCACTTCGTAGATACATAACTAGCCAAAGGGACGGCCACAGTTAAACTGTGAGGCTGTGTTTCTGAGTGAGTGGTGAGCATCATTTAATTCAGGGAACTGTTCTGGCTGTTTCCCCCAACAACGGGGTGAGACTGACATAATGACTTTAAGGCCTGTAACTAAAAACCACTAACACAGTCGAGCTGGAGGTGTTAGAGAAGGCGTTTATTACAGCAAAAATGCCTGACAAAACATACCATCACCCATCTTAAATACCAATACTGTGCTGAGAATGTGGCTGGATTTGAAAGTGAAGTTAATACAAAAAGAGGCATCTAAAAAACCAGAGTGTCGATCGTGTATTGGCGACTTTGCGCTGTCACTCTGTCACTTTGGGGCAGAAACTTGAAAAATATGTATATAGTGAGGTAAGTAGTAGAATATTGGACCTGTAAGGCAACCAGTTGACTCCCAGGACCCATGGAGTCACCAAGAATCACCTTCCTTGCTCTTCCACTGGCAACAGAAAAGATCATTTACCATTTTGGGAAACTAAGGCTTCCTAAGGCATCCACAGAAGAAAATGGTAGTGATGCTCTGCAGGTTGGATGGTTAAACATTTCAAGGAGAATGAGCGCTTTCCTTGCCTTAGCGACATTATTGACGGACATGTTATAACAGATGCTGACATAACAGCAGAAACAAGTGACCTTCCCAGCAGATGAGGATCATGAGATAACTTTACCACCAAGATAAATGTCAGAATTGTCACCACCACAGGTTCAAAGCCTATGCCCTGTACGAGGCAGTAGGTAAGTGACATCACATCGACATTACTGAAATACTCGTACTGCTCTGGAGATGGTCGGCCAGCTCCTTCTCTTTCATTCTTCTCAAGAAGTAAAGTGTGATTTTCAGAAATGATTCTCTGCTGCTCCTCCTCTCCTCCACATCTTCACCATCCTCTCTCTCACTCTCCAATCCGACTGAGTCATCTGGGCTCAGAATCCTCTGAAATTTTTTCAGCTCATCCTTCACAAAACTGATGATGCTCTTCTCGAGTTTCTGGAACAGAAATATTAATGCATGTAGCCTGAAGGTTGTTCCAACCAGAATACCTATCACTGATGACGATAAGTGCAGTGGGTGAACATTTACACACAGTGAAGATGGAGTCGAGGTCTTTTTGATTCTGCTGGGCATGCTGAACTCTAGAGAGACACATAAAATATTTATGTTTATTTTAGTTATCATGTGAGTTGCTTAAGGATAACAGGTTCAAAATAAAGCTTTTACAGGACTGTGCAGTCCAGTAAAAACGTAAATAACTCCTCCAACCTTCCACCCCCTCACTGTTTGTCTGATAGATAGTGAAAAGTATCCCACATAAAGCCGGCTGTATTTTGTTGAGAGCAGTTTTACTTTTGCTAAAGAGCTGTGAGAATAAAAATCTACATCGTAGCTCTTTATTAGCGATGCGTTCGATTTTAGACTAATAGAAAGATAATGCTGATACAAACAGAAAGATATTTCAGTTAGATAACATGCTTTATGAACTAGATTAGTATTAGTTAGTACAAGTATATTAATCCTCCTGCTGTAATGGCTGCACCAATCTTAAAAAATATTAAGGTACTTTCTCAGATACATCTGCACACTTTCAGCTCCTACCCCAGAACATCAGGCCTCTGTTCATGTTTAAAGTCAACATGTGGACCCTTGGACCGCTCACTCTGCATGGACACACTGCTGGATACAGAAGAGTGCTGCTGCCATTGTCTGATCTTCCTACAATCACAGGAGGATATTTCAGTTACCCAGCACATGGTGTGAACCACAGTGATAAAATACGAACAATACAAAGCACCATGCTAGAGATAATCATAAATGAATAAAAATAATAAGCCATGTTAAAATCCTTGATTAGACCAGCATGTTTAAAATGCAATGCTAAAACTTAATATACCGTATTGTTCCATATTTTTTGGACTATAAGGCGCACTTAAAATCCTTTAATTTTCTCAAAAATCAATAGTGTGCCTTATAATCTGGTGCCCCTTATGTATGAATTCTGGTTGTGCTTTCTGACCTTGAAACTTTGGTAAGCTACGAAGCTTGTCGATGCTCCGATTATCGGAGCATTACGGCTACCGTAGTCAGGAGCCTTGCGCAGTAATCTGTGTCCAAACTCTGCTTCAGGTTCCAAAGTCAAAAGCACACTGCGCCATCACTGAGAGTTAAAAACTAACTCTCTAAATTCTTTCATCTTTAACAAAATTTGCTGCTTTAAAAGGTGTAACAATAAAGTTTAACATCCAGACATCCATGAAAACAGAATTTATTAAATTTAACGGAGTTAGAAGTTAACAGGAACTTAGCTTGCTAGTTTCCACCTAAACATGATATAGCATGTTCTGACAGAGATTTCTGAAAAAAAATTAAACACACAGCTCTCCTATCACTTCAGACAGAAATGAAGACAGAAAACTAAACAGCAGTGACTTTTGTAGGGTTACTGAAGTTGGACTAGCCGGTATAGTATATAATGATGTGCTACGTGATTGCTAGCGACACAGCTATGTTAGCATAACTTAAACAGTGAAGCTGAAGGAAGAATGCTAACTTTTTTCTACTCAATAAAAGTTAACGCGAGCATTCCCGATGGTTAGGGGCAAATGCAAACGCATCGTAGGACGGTGTAAACGGACCAAACTTCAGTGAGGAGAACAACTAAGAGATTCCATCCACAATACAAGGTTAGTCATTAATATACTGCAACAACATGGGAATAGAGCAGCTGCGAGAGAATTCAACATTAATGAATCAAGGGTACAGAAGTGGAGAAAGCAAGAAGAATGAGTTGAGTAAAGTCTGGCTTATTCAACTCTGACTGGACTGTTTTGTTTCCCTTATTGCGTCTTATAATCCAGTGTGCATTATGTATGAAAACAGACCTGTTCATCGACAGTGCGTCTTATAATCCGGGGCGCTTTATGGTCTGATAGATTTATTAGGATATAAAATTGATAGTTAAAATATGTGCAGTACTCTGTATCAGATAACTCATGCACCTTTGAGTCCTTACCCTTGGTCAGACTTCTGTTCATGTTTAAAGTCAACATGTGGACCCTTGGACCGCTCGCTCTGCATGGACACACTGCTAGATACAGGAGAGCGCTGCTGTTGTCTGACCTTCCTACAATCACAGGGGGAGAGATTTCAGTTAGCAAGCACACTGGGTGAACCCAGTGGCAAAAGACACAAAGTGCTATGATAGTTGCAGCAAGTATAAAGAATCGAATGGGACTGGACATGTTATAAGTGATGGGAACAAGTTGGCATTTGCAAATGCAATAATAAAACATAACCTATTCAGTCTTCTTACTGATCAATACATTCATCCTGATCTATATGTTGATAAAAACCTGATTCTAAAATATGTGTAATGTCTGTTTCAGATAAGTCCTGAATCGACCCTGTTGCGCTCTTACCTTGCATCATCAGGGCTCTGTTCATGTTTAAAGTCGACATGTGGACCCTTGGACCGATCGCTCTTCATGGACACACTGCTGAATACAGAAGAGTGTGGTCTCTGCTGTAGGATCTTCCTTTAAATATAGGAACGCATTTATGTTAGACACCATCCTATGTGACTTGTCTTAGTACATGACAGTTAGAATGAGTAAGTAAATCCTCCTGCTAAAAAAACATAAAGCCATGAAATGGTTGGAGCGTGCTATAAAGAATTTAAACCGTGTTAAATAAAGTGGATGAAAATGGTATTGCTAAATGCAGTGCTAAAACAGCCATCCATCCATCCATTTTCTGCCCCTCTGAAACTGTAAAAAGCTGCACCTTCAGTTTGCAGTCCTTACCCAAGGTCAGACCTCTGTTCATGTTTAAAGTCGACATGTGGACCCTTGGACCACTCACTCTGCATGGACACGCTGCTGGATACAGGTGAGTGTGGTCTCTGCTGCAGGCTCCTCCTGCAAACACAAGGACTCGTTTATCCTGAATAAGAACTCATTAATAACCTGAAACAGTGATCACATGAAGAAAACTCTGAACGCTTTTGAATTTTTGCTCTTCTAAACTTTTTTCTAAATATTAAGATAATTAAATAAATAATAATCAATATTTCTTTCAACATTGTTAAGAAATCATTTTGTCTAACAAATCTGTTTTAGTTCCTTTGACTTCTTACCTTGGATCAGCAGGGTGATGTCCATCTTTGAAGTTAACATGTTCGCCCTTGGACCAATCGCTCTCCATGGAGACACAACTGGGTACAGGCGAGTCCCGTTTGTGGTGTTTGATCTTCCTATTATATATAATCATTTAACTTGAGTGCTTAACTAGAGATAAGATGATGTGTCATGGGCGGTTGGTCATCTCACCTCTGCAGTTTGATTCGACTCTCATGTTCCCTGCACTGATCCATAGCAGATCCCAAACCTTCACACAACATCACAGGACACATTTGTTCTGACTGCTGTCAAACAATTACAAAAAGTTTGGATTCGTTTTGATATTCAAAATGTAAACTGGTCTTTGTTAACATAATACCAGTATATCTTGATACCGTAACATAAAACAAACAAAGATAAGAAACACTTTACAGAAAATACCACGTGTTTGATCGTGTTTGTAAAATCAAAATTAGTGCACCTAATAACTGTTTTATTTGATTTCCTTTCATGTTGTTTTATCTTGGCGGTGGGGTTTTAATCACATTGAGCAATAAGGTTATCAGGAACCTTTTTGTGATTTTTATACCTCAGAAAAATAAAACCTTGAACTTTGATTTTGTATGATATGAATTACAGCTGCTGATCGGTGTGATAGCATTCTGTTTGTTGTAAAAACTGTAAATGTCATTACATCAAAGGACATTTATTTATAGGTAAAAAGTTGTGTTGTTTGTTTGTTTCAAATTTCTACATGCCATCTGGTTACTGAAGCTTCCTGTTGTGTCAAGGTCAAATTTGACTTATTAAGGATTATGTAAATGATAGAAACAGAAAAAAAAACAAGTAACAAGTCTCATGTTTTTTTAAATCTGGAGTGAGGTTGATCATAATACTGCCAATAACCCTTTTGATAAGTCCCCCCAGTACTCAAGACCAATTAATGAAACTAATGGCTGGAAACAAAATATCTCTCCATCACAGAGGTGGTTGTAATGTGAAGGTCCCCACTCTGAAAAAAACATTTTCCAAAAATAATCATAAGGGTTGACATTTGGACGTGTTGTAGAAGACAGTTTGAACTGAAAGCTTTTTAAAACAAATGAAATAGACTGATGGGTTGTGATAGCCCAACATAAACCAGTGAAAAGGTAATTTAGTCATCTGAATATCAGTTCTTGCAGACCAGCCTGAACTTCCATTAGCATAACGATTTTCTAACAGAGAGCATCCTGAGATGGTCACATGAATGAAAATGCATGAACAGACAAAAATGCCCATGAACACACCTCTGCAGCAACATACAACAAAATCCTACAAAGACTTGGAAGCTTTTTGGACATACCTGCTGACAGTGAAGAGGCAGGAAGCAGTTTGCGTTACTGTTTGATGGAAGAAATAATCTGTGTGAAATTAATCTTAATCAACCACTTCTAATGTAAAGCAACTAAAAGCAAGGCTAAACAGGAGCTTGCTGGTCTGCAGATTCAATCTAATCTCCACATTCAGTTCTCCACAGTTTTTATTATTTAAGGTCATACAATAACCACATGCCACTGAACTTTGAACCTGCTCTTGTGGAACATTAACAGACAGTAAGACAAGCTTACAGTGGAACTTAGAATTCTTCTGGGCCTTGTCCAGAAGGCAGGTTTTACACAATCTGAGTATGTTTCTTTGTTTTTCTTACAGGTGCAG